CTGTATCCCGATGCTCCGAATGACTCGCCGGTCACCTGCGCCTTTCCACAGTCTGTCGATTTTCTGCAAAAAATTGAATATTTCAAGAATAGGAATTTTTTAAAAATCAATGTTTTATATCAAAAACTAAACTGTACTACTGTGTAACTAAAAAATTAATTTTAATTATGAATTCATAAAAGCAACATTTTAATTATTCTTAGGGCAGATTAGTCGAGATATTTTAAGTAAGTTTTCTCAGTATCATAAGCTTACGGTACTTTTGTTTAAAAAAGGGAAAATGGAGGTATAAAACCAAAAATAAACCAGTACCCAAAAATAAAAAAGATGTTTCCTTTATTCTAGACCTGTATTCGCTGTGAAATGCCCACTTGTCGAGCTCGGATCCGCCGCAGATCAGCCAGTGCTTGTTGATGAAGCGCAGCGAGGCGAGCACCGAGTTGCGCAACAACGAGCTGAACTTGCGCACGCCGGACAGCTCGGAGACGCGCGCCTCTGGGTAGGTGACCTGGAGCAGGTGGATCAAAGGGAAAACAGCAGATAAAAAGGTTTTTAAAGGACCATTCAAGATAATATTCCGTCAATTGAGAGCTAAATTAAATTTTAGATGTTTCGAAAATTCCCGACATTCGAAATTAGATATGAATGCCTATTTAAATGTCCAACTTGATGAAAAATCATCCCAAACCTACCTGGAATCTAACGACGCGGACGGCTGGCTCGAGCTCGGGCTCGGATTGGGCCTGTATAGCCCCGGAATATAAGATAGCGGCCAGGCAGAGACTTCTGAACAGCATCTGAAAAAAAAATAGATATATAAATATAGATAACATCAAAAATTACCGAAAAATTCAATCGGTAATCCAATTAATAAAATTAAAAGGGCACGAGACTGCTTCGCTCACGGATTAGAAAAACAAGAAATTTCCAGAGTTTTAGGCTATGATGAAACATTTTATTTCCAAACACCAAAAACGAGAAGAACTGACAAATAAAGGAGGAAGCACTGCGAAACCAGCAATAAGCCATCGAATTCACATAAAAACTGCTACTTTTGCTGTAATCAGGGACGTAGCGTATCGTCGGCCCTGGGGGCTCGCCCCCTGCCCCGAGAATCGGCCGGGGCCGAAAATTTCATAAGGGGGGACCCTTATGATTTTTATTTTCTCAAAAATTTTGCTGCCTGCGGCGCTATTTTTTCACATTTTACGGCTATTATATAGAGCTATTGTAACCTTTCTTTCAAAAATTTTTGCCTGCGGCGCTGTTTTCTCGTTAATGTTTTGAGCTTTTTGGAAACATTTTTTGGGGCCCCCCCCCGAAATTTTTTCTGGCTACGCCCCTGGCTGTAATATAGAATAAAATTAACAAATTTCTATAGAAAAATTTGCTGTTTAATATTGCGTAAAACTAACGCTGCTGTAGAATAAAATTATTAATTGAATGTAGAGCAAAATTATTGCTGCGACTTGACAAATACATAGAAAGTTTTGGGTATAACTTTTTTATTTTGCATTATTGGAGGCTAAAATTAAAACTCTTAGTATATTTTTTGACACTCTATCGAATCGTGTTGCAAAATCCCGACAAAAATAGCGAAAATACCGAAAACTTTGAGACCCTTCTTCTCAGCTCGTCGAGAGCTTTCGATAGATATCAAAATCGTAAAAATCGGACATCACTGCGGACCGCTAGAGGGGGGTCTTTTTTGTGCACCCTGTTGATTACAAACTACATGAATCTGGATGCGAATTCAGACGTACAGCACATGCCAAACGGCTAACTTAAGTGAAACAAAAATTTATAAAATTTCAAAATACTTTTGTAGTTTGGAGGAGGTTTAATGGTTTTGATAGGATTTCAAAAGTGAGCTTCCGGATCCGGGCTGTTCCCGACCCGCCCGGGGGTCAAAATATGCTGATCCGTCTGGCTTTTCCTATCCAAACCGAAGTCCGTGCTCACCCCACCCCTCCAAAAAACTGGTAGCAGCGGGGCGCCATTTCAGGCTAATCCCCGACCTGGCAGCTGCATCGGGGGGTTCCTCAAGGCAAAATACTGCCTCAAGGATATAGATTCAGGTAATAACATATTTTTTTCTGAGATTATTCTATTTTGACAAACGCGTCCATAGATAGAGTAAGTGTTGCCAAACCATTTTTTACTATTTCTAAACGGAAAAACGTCACAGATTTTTATTTAAAAAATAAACACGTAGAGATTTTTCTATCGAAATCGCCGATTTTTTTAACAAAATTAACATAAAAAAGTAGTGTTATGCAATAGTCAGCGAAGCTTTGGAAAAGGAAGCCCTAAATTCAGCCATTATTTTAAATATTTAAAGGAACTTTTTCAAAGGCAAGGAATTTTCCAGCCATTTAAAGGAACTAGGCATCCAAAAAACAAGTTTAAGCTATCGTATCGTATCGTATTTTTACACTTTTTGATTTTAGAGGAATAAGGAAGTCAAGAGACGAGCGAAAAATATGCTGTCGTTTGTAAACTGTCGATGCAGGCAAATCTATGGAGCACAGCGTTCTGGTTTATTGGCGTGCTTAAGAAGATTTTTTATACGTTTAATGCCCCCAGGATTCATATGATACGCAGCGCGCAAGAGCGCTGATCCGGAAAGTCCGGTCAAAAAATATAAGAAAACAGGTGCGCTATGCCAAGCAATCCAGACGTCCAACCGAACATTATTGAAAATCGGTTGCTGGGTGGTGCGTGTCTTGGGGAAACATCAATTTTCTAAAAATCGTACGTATCAGTCCGAATCATAGGAAATTTGAAATTTTTGCTAGTAGATCAGAAATCTTTGCTGCTCCGGGAATTCGAGGATGAATATTTAGGTGTTCGAGCAGGAGAATGGGCGATCATCTAGAGATGTAAATGGCAGATATGCAGAACTGGAACCTGAGGAGGAGGAGGAGGAGTTGGAGACAGGATTCATCCGGGGGAAAGTCGCGCTCAATTGTCTCTTACTCAGACAATCTCTCTCTCCCTCCATCTCTCTCTCTCTCTCTCTCTCTCTCTCGTTCCCATTCCCGATCCACAAATTGGCACCGTTCATGGGTGCGTAACGTACTCGACGGAGCCTCGGGGGTGAAAACGGTTCCACTGACTTTCTAAGCAACCTCATTACCTCTCAAAGCATGCGCTCAAGCTATCGGAGCGACATAGTTTTTGTCAGAATCTGGCGGAACATTATTTTCGAGAAGAAACACAAAGATCTGGCAGAAACGGTAGCTATTTTTCCTGAAACCTAATTTCTTAAAAGGGTTGATTAAAAAGCGCTGCTCTCTTTCCCTGAGTTCCAATTACGCTGATCGTTTGTAGATAAGGCACGCCAAAATCTGAGCCCCATGAAGACAAAAAAATCTGGGTTGGTTGGTGCATTTTTACAAAGTAAAGACATGTTTCAGATCAAAATAATAGCAAAAAAAAGTAAGCGGTGGCTATTGCAAATACGAAATTGATGAAAATTCGAAACATAAAATTTTCACAGAAAAAAGAATAAAAAAGGGCTGCTTCGAATAGTCCTTGCGGGGGCGGGGGGACCAGGGAAAACAGAGTTTTTTTGTATGATTTCAGAAACGTTGGTAAATTAATATAAAGTTGCTTAATAGTATATTGAAATCTTAAATTTATTAAATTTTGATTTAAAATCTCCAATGGCAAAACTTAGCAAAAAGTTAAAAAATTTAAATTCAAAATATTTCCAAATCTTAAATTATTCAATTAAATTAAATTTATCTTAATCTACAAATATATGTTTTAATAAATTATTGAAGACAAATTTGTACTTTTTGCGTCAAAGAATAAAAAAAATTGTATGGAGACGCTTGTTCCATTTCTCAATTAGCAAAATAGGATTCCAAAGGAAAAAATTGGTTTTGCCCCTGATAAATCCCCCCCGATAATGCCAAAGAACCCAATAAAAGAATCTCCATCGCCGGCGCGCCTCGGGAGGTAAACGAAGCCGGGGCGCGGCGCCAGGCAGGGTGAAGGAGTTTTTGCCATGTCCTGCTCCTCTTCCCCCCTTGCCCCTCCTCGGGGCCACGATAGAGCATGAGGGGCTGGTCTGGTACTTATGAAAAAGTGCTCCTTCCCGGTATTCTGGCTCTCCCCAATAACACCCCCAAACCCTGCAATCGGGAAGATGAGCAACAAAGGGTTGGCTGGATGCGAGCTGATCAAGGCCGGAGGGTGAAACATAAAAATTGTAAATTTGTCGAATATGGCGCTTTTGGTAAGAGGTTATTTTATCGAGCTTTACATCATTTTTTAAGCTGGTTTCTAATTCGGCAACGAAAAAAAATTTACCACAATTTATTAGAAACTAATTCTCGAATTTGCGATTTTTCCATCCAATTTCAAGATGCCTCATTCTTTTGCTATTTTTCGACTTAACTAACGATTAGAAAAAGCTAAAAAGATATGCTAACCGCTTTATTCGAGGTAGAAACTCATTCCAAATCGTTTTCATAAATGATCAAAAATTGCGAGAGCCAAGCACACCTTTGAAAAAACGAAGTTTCATTCCATGTCCATTACACTCTGTACTTCAAGTAGGGCAATCTTGGTAAAAATAGGTTCTAAAAACCGATCCGAATATTTATTAAATCGAAACACATCGACAGTAAAGAGACACGAAAAAAGGCGAGACGGTAGAATCCAATGGGAGGTACGGTAGAAGAGCCGGGAAGTCGTGGACATTCTTGAGGATCGTTGTAGGGGTACAGTCGCGTAGTCTAGGGGTCGCTTCACGTCAGCTTGACCTCGATTTTGCCCGCCTCCTGGCACACCATCTCACCACCCTTGCTGGCCGGGAGGATCTGGAAAAACGGGGGTGATTGTGCGTTATCGGGGGGGGCCTAAACATGTCGTTGAAGTCGGCCTAGTAGCAAAAATGACGATTTTTGAGGAAGAGGAGAGGGCAGGCTAGCAGAGATTGTTGGGGAAGAGGAGAGGGCAGGCTAGCAGAGATTGTTGAGGATGAGGAGAGGGCAGGCTAGCAGAGATTATTGAGGAAGAGGAGAGGGCAGGCTAGCAGGGGGTTGAGGAGGAAGAGGAGAGGGCAGGCTAGCAGAGATTGTTGAGGGAAGAGGGAGAGGGCAGGCTAGAGAGATTGTTGAGGAAGAGGAGAGGGCAGGCTGGCTAGAGGGTGTTAAGAGGAAGAGGAGAGGGCAGGCTAGCAGAGATTGTTGAGGAAGAGGAGAGGGCAGGCTAGCAGAGATTGTTGAGGAAGAGGAGAGGGCAGGCTAGCAGAGATTGTTAGGAATTTAGGCCTTTTTACCCACATCGTAGTAGGTGATCTTCAGCGTGCCACCAGCGCCGGCAGGCTAAAAAGGGTGAAATTCGCAAGCTTTAAAGGGGCTGTGAAGGCAAATTCCTATGGATTGCCAAAAATACCTTCTTCTGGATCTCAAAAAGACGCGAGTCGCCGGTGGCCATCATGTCGGTGGCGGGCAGATTGGTGACGTAGTTCGTCGGGTCGCTCAGCTCAACCTGGAAATGAAGCATTGGATTTCCTCAACAATCTCTGCTAGCCTGCCCAGCTGTGTAAAAATCAAAGTTCCCAAAATCACCATACCCCCCTGCTATTCGTCGCGAAAGAAATTGGGGCTGAAGCTTTCTTCGAAACGCTAATTGCTTTTTCCTAACCACACCCCCCTGTTACGTGCGGCTACAAATTTTCTGAAGGCCGGTGGGGCATAATAACCCAAGTCGGATACGGTAATTATAAAGATTACACGAATTATAAGGATTACGCGGTAAAATTTTGTGAAGGGACGCTGCC